TCAAATTTCAAGTTTTGATTGGTGTTCTTACACAATACAAAGCTTGATTGACAGTTCTATTTACTATCAAGGAGATGTGAAGAGATACTTTCCTGGTCCACTACCATTCCTTATGGTAGTTTCCACTTTTATTTATTCTTTTATTTAAATATTTTGTATATAGATATATATGTGTTTATCGTACTGGGTTTTTTGTTAACAGGTTTGTTACTTTGATCGACTACAAAGGAAAAATATCATTATGCCTAGACAAATTCCTTTAATCAAAGAATGGGATAGTGATAAAATAGCAAAAAGAATTGCTATTGAGAGGAAGCTTGGCTTTGGGCTTGGCACACTGTTGGATAAAATTGAGATCCAAGATGGTTGTGGCCAGCCTTTAGCTATTGAAGGTGTAGTGGACCAACAACAGCAACCGCAGCAGCAACAACAGCAGCAGCAGCAACAACAGCAACAACAACAGCAGGAGGAACAACAACAACAACAACAACAACAACAACAACAACAACAGCAACAAGTTCAGGAAGAACAACAACAACAACCTCAAGAACCTTCTAATTTACAAGTAAGAATTTTATAATTAAATATATAAAGTATGTTCTTTAATGGTTAAATATTATGTTCTTTAATGGTTAAACTTGTGTTCTGTAATGGTTAGACTTATGTTCTTTTCCAACTAATTACATGTTATTTTGCTTTCTAATTAAGCATGTATTTTTTTTTAATTTTCAGTGTTCTCTAATGACTATGGTTATGTTCTTTTTTATTCCTTACATGTTCTTTTATTTTCTAATTCAGCATGTGTTATAATTTTTAGTGTTCTTTCATGATTATACTTATGTACTTTTTTATTAATTACATGTTCTTTTTTTCTGTACTTTGTTCTTTTGTAGGAATACACCCATTTGCTACGCCAAGCAACAGAAACAATTGCTTCTAGCTTTGTGAACCTCTCCAAAATTCTTAAGATGGGAGAGAAGTTCCATAATAGACCTATTGATGGGGATGCCACACTATACAATGTAGCTACAATGTGGTCCAGACTTTCTGGCATTAAATTGTCGGAATAAGTAATAAACAATGTACCTTCTCAAAGGGTTGAGGGGAGTTCCATCATGAGCCAAGATACAGAGTTCTTTGCATCTGACTGGTTTGGTGAGATGGTTGACAATGTTGTCAAGAATTCTGGAGTGGAAGGAATCACTGTGGAGAAAGAGAAAGAAGGAGGTGAAGAGGAGGATTCTCAACCCACTGAGTTGGAGCCATTGGTATTCAGTGTGGTTACCCCTGTGACTCCACCAACACAATATACAGGTGATCTAGACCTGAAACTGGCATTGAGCACAACAAGTTCCCTCAATCTGGGAAACCAACAATTTTCTGACATCGGTGAATTTGATTCAGCCTTCACTGACCAACAGTTGGAACCAAGTGTTCCAGAGGAGATGTTAGATGGTCAAAAGATAGGGTAACTAATAATCTCAAAATGTGATTTCAGATTTGTGTGGTATATTTATTTAGATTTGAATGATTTAGAATACAAATCTGTAATATTTATGTATTATTTAGATGAATGTTGTAATGTTCTTTATGATTTCCTAACTTGTTCTTTACAATTTCATATGTTGTTCTATGTGTTGTCATATAATATTCTATAAAGTGTAATGTTCTGTTTGATTTTATATAATGTTCTCTGAGATTTTATGTGATGTTCTTTGATTTTTTATTTGATGTTCTTTATGGTATCATATCATTTAATGTATGTTTTTTTTTTTATTAATGATGTATAATATAACTACCTTTGAGTGTAAAAAGGATGCCAGATGAAAACAAGGATCAAGGTAAATTTGAGAAGGTGGTAGAAGAAAATGTAGCTGAAAATCAAAGGTATATACATATATACATAGACTTTATAATTAGGAAAATTTTTAAATTACCACCCTAAAATATATCCATTTTCTAAATAATCACCCGTTTAATTTTTTTTTTATTTTACCACCCCTTAAATTAAAAAAACTACTCAAATTACCACCCATTTCAAAATTCAAGTAAATTTTTCTTATGTGGGCCCCACCCAACGACTCTTAGTGGTGAAAGGAAGAAGATGATCAGTAGTAGTGGCAATTCGGACAGCATGCTCTTGGTTTTTTTAGTTGTTTTCTTTTAGTTTTAGGTTGTCTTGTACTCAATAAATTGGTTTAAGGAGGAGGTGAAGTGAAGACATGGTTGATTGTAAATGCTTAGGCATAGCCGTTACTAGCTATTGGGTGGGTCCTTATAACAAAATTCCATCGGAATTTTGAAATGGGTGGTAATCTGAGTAGTTTTTTAAATTAAGGGGTGGTAAAATAAAATAAAAAAATTAAACGGGTGGTTATTTTGAAAATGAATACATTTTTGGGTGGTAATTTAAAAATTTATGTTATAATTATTATGGGTTATTGTTGTTACTTCATACATATTTTTTGCTTACAATTATTGATTAATACAGTGATGCAACCGAAAAAGAGATGGTATATGTTAGAGCAAAAAGACAGAAAGGAAAGGAGGAAAATAAGGAAAAAAGGTATATGTTCTTTTATAAAAACTGTATGTTCTTTACGTTTTGTTCTTTGTTCTTTTTATAAAAATTTTATAAAAAAATCTATAAAAGATAATTATTATACTGAATAGTATGATTAATTATATATGTGTGCCTTTTTAGTGATGCAACTACAGAAAAGGTAGATTGCAAAAAAAAAAAAAACAGAAAGGAAAGGAGAAAGTGGAAGAACAAAGGTATATGTTCTTTTTTTTAGAACTATATGTTCTTTTTAAAAGTATTGTTTGTTATTTCAAATGATATGTATGTTCTTTTACATAAAATTTTATTTGCAGTGTTGGTCCAACACCTACAAAGAGAGCTAGGAAGTTGGGAAAGGTGTACAGGTCTCCTTTCCTAGTGCAATATTCTCATTTGATAGAGGGCACAGATGAGTTCAAAGAAGCTATACTGGAATATGCTTTTTCAGATGTACTTGATGAAGAGTATGATTTTATTCCTTGTACTAAACTATGCTTTTTCATATGAAATTGATGAAAAACAAGCTTTATTACCCTTATTTAATATTTCTATATTTTTTTCTTTTTATATTTTTTTTTCTTTTTATGTAGTGAGTTATTTTATGACGATGGATTTGCACATTTGTCAAGAAAATTGATCAAAACAATGGGCGACAATGTATACATCTACAGCGATATAGTTGACGCTTTTTGTCTCATACTTAATGCAAAAAATTTTGCTGATGACAAAAAGAGGATTTTCTTCCCAAATGCAGCCATTGTAAGTGTAATTCAATTGGTTTTGATCCCTATTTTTTTAGGATATATTATTAATTTGATTCTAATCCTTTTGTTTTTATAAAACATAGAACTTGTTATGCGTGAGCGATGCGTATGTTGATGATAGTCAAGAAGCTATATATGGTATCAAATATGTTAAATTCGAAGAGACAATCAGATATTGGCTAATTGATTGCAATATAGAATCAGTTAAAGGATATCAGCTGGTAAGTCATATAATGTTCTTTTATTTTAAAGTAGTGTTCTTCTGAATTTAGTATATGTTCTTTAATTTTTAAGTAGTGTTCTTCTGATTTTAGTATATTTTCTTTTCATGGATTAGTTACACATTTTCTGTGACTTCCTTCACTATGTTCTTTTTATTTCTTTGATTGTTCTTTTATATATGTGTGTTGTTCTTTCATGATTATGTCATGTTCTTTATAGTATATTCAATGTTTTTTTTAAAGTACATGTTTTTTTATCTGCCTGTTTCAGTTGTTTTTCCCTGTGTATGCGCACGACCACTTTTATGTGATGGTCATAAATACAAAATTAAAGGCTGTGAAAATTTTGGATAACAGACCACTTGTAGAGGGTGTTCCTTTTTCAGAAAATTACCATGACTATCCAAAGAAGTTGGTAAGGATGTTATTTAACTTTTATAAATAATGTATGTTTTTAATTAAAATATATAGTGTTCTTTTTGTCTAACTTTTATATTCTTTCGTTGTGTATGGTAGAGGCATGCCTTCTCAATGTACCTGAAACAACATGGGATGAAGTTATGGGAAAAAGTCCTCAACTATGAAATAAAATTGGTAGACATGCCATGGAGAACATTGGACAACAATGTTGATTGCGGAATATACACAATGCGCCACATGGAGACATACTTCGGGAAGCGTAAATGGAATTGTGGCTTGAGGGCTGATAATGTAATATTATCATATTTTGTATTTTTTTTATTTAAGAAAATAACAAACATTAATGTTATTCTTTTATTTTTCTTTTCTTTTTTGTGGGTGAACAGTTTGATGCATTGAAGGCACTTAGAATGCAGTACGCATATGAGATTCTTGTGGATCAAGTGAATAAGCGCCATGCAGATTTTAGCATGAAGGCCAAGAAATATTTCAAGGAAATTAGGAATGATTAGAGACACTTGTGTTAGTTTTTGAACAAGTATGTCTTTTTGAAAATTTGGTGGATGTTGAACAATTAGCACTGTTTATTTTTTGTATAGTTGGGGCTAATAAACTTTGGAAGCATATTGATTTGGAAGAAAGAATAGAATGAACATGTACAATGTTCTTTATACAACATGTGTTCTTCTGATTTTATGCAATGTTCTTTTGATTACAAACAATGTTCTTTTATTAACATATACTATTCTATTGATTACATATAATGTTCTTTTAAAAACATCTGATGTTCTTTTTGTTCAGTGAAATTTTATTTCTAGTTATTTTGCATCATATGTCTTATAAACTAACACAAAATATGTTTTTTTATAGGCCACAGTAACCACCATTAATATGCAAAATATGTCTTGTTAAAAAAAAAACTGAAATAGAGTGTTCTAATTTATAAGATCTTATTAAAAAAAAAATTAAAAAATATAAGGACAAATATGAAATAAAAAAAATTGTTAACGTAGACTAAATAGTACATATCATTTATAATTCTCTAATATTCACTCCAAAATAGTCATCAGGCTCAAAAAACTCCAAAGATCCTCCAAATTCGTTGGAATGTGCCAGAACATTTCCATCAGGTACATGGAGGAAATCCTTCCAAAAAAAAAAAATTATTTAAGTAAAAGAACAATATGTATAAAATGAAAGAACAAGTTGTAACCATAAAAGAATGTAATATAATATAATTAAGAACAATATATACCTTAATCGTAGTCTGTGCTTTTTGTTTCATCTTTGAAACACCCTTTGCGCTTTTCTTTCTCCATGACTTTATCTTTTGACCTTTGAGCTTGTTGGAAACCTTTTCCTGTGTGCTTTTCCACCTAGTATTCTTTTGACCCTTTTTTCTTTTTTTGATAGGATCCTTGACATCTACCTGAACTGTGTGTTCTTTAACAATGCCTCCATGTTCTCTTTCAAAACCTCCATGTTCTTTTTCAAGTCCTCCATGTTCTTCAGCCAATTCCTCAAATATTACTGCTGGTTCTAATAGACTGCCATCACCTTTTTCTTGAGTAACATCTTGTTCATTCGTTTTTGATAACTCAGGTGGCACATCTTTATCTTCTCCCATCAAGAGATTAATCCTAGCAGTGCATTCTTCAATTGCTTCCTCAATGACAGCTCGAGCACTCAAGTCATTCTGTGCTCGATCTACAAGTGTGATAAATGCACGAATATGATACAATCTCTATACACTACAAGGAGTAACACCCATTTCAGCAACATCATTGTCATCAACTCTAGTGCACATAGCAGCTTTTGTCCATCTCTTGCAAATGTATCTCTTCGGGATATAAGTAATGTTGTTTAAGTGTAAGACACGAAGTGAGTGCTTGCACAACAAACCTACCTCACCAAAATATTTGCAAGTACAATCAACTGTAACTGTTGATTCATCAAATGCAACAGTATGCATGATCAAATCCTTTTTTGGATGCCCAACATGATATTCATAAAGTGGAGGTTGAAATCCTATTACCTTTGCCGTGCAGGGAACACCATTGACAAAATTGTCTTCAAAATGTAAATAGATTAGAATAGTATAAATCTTCCTTGCATGCTCCAACAATCCAATATCTGCCCAAACTAAATGACGATTTCCAGTCATACTATCATAATCATTACTACCTTCTCTACTCCTCCACTCATCAACAACCTCAATAAAAGTAGTGTAGAAATCACATAGACCATGAGTGGCATGTAGTCGACGGAAAACTGATTTGTTAGTAGTTTCACTTCTCTGAGATGACATAACACCGCCACTAAAATAATCTTTGGAATATGCAGGACACCACATCTCTTTGATATTATACAGATTTTGCAGCCATTTATTATCTGTGCATTTGTACGTTTTCTGCATGCTGTAAAATAAAAGAACATCATACTAAGTGAAAAGAATGTCAAATATAATAGAAAAGAACATCTGTCTACTTAATTCCAGCACATTAAGTTCACTTCAGAAGAACATCAAATATATGATAAAAGAACATTAAATGAACAACACAAGGAACATTATTTTAAGTAAAAAGAATGTCACATGTAATAAAAAAGAACATCTCTCTATATTAATCCAGCATATTGGGTGTACTTGAGAAGTACATCAAATAAATTACAAAAGAACATGGAACATGAAAATAAAGAACATCGTCTAGCAACTTAAAGAACATTGAATCGGTAAAATATTTAAATAACATAATTTTAAAATTATTAATTCATAGTGTTACCTTGACCAATAGTGCTCGAATTCTTGAATAGTATCGGTATACTTCAAAACAATATCAAACAAATCATTAAAACCTTCCTTTGCTCTAAGTCCTTTGATATTTTTCTTTGCATTCTCCCCAATATGCCACGTACATAGTCGATGTCTGGAATTTGGGAAGACAACCTTAATTGCTTTGGCCATTGCTTGAGCTTGGTCAGTCATTATTGTCACAGGATGTTTGCCACCCATGGATTTCAAAAAAGTATTGAACAACCACTCAAAAGATTCCCATTTTTCATTGATCAAGAAGCCAATACCAAACATGACATTATTGTTATGATGATTCATACTAACAAACGGTCCACAAATCATACCATATTTGTTTGTACGGTACGTTGTATCATGGACTAATAAATCACCAAAAGCATCATAATCTACCTTCATTCTATTATCACGAAAGAAGAAAGATTGCAAATGACCTTTTTCATCAACATCAAAGTCATAAAAAAAGTCATACTCACTAGATTTCCTCTCCTTAAAATAGCTAAGCAAGCGCTTTGCATCACAACTGTCAAACATCATTTTCTTATGTTGGGATAAAGCACCATACGCATCCCTACAAAGAAATGAAAGATTTGCCTCTCCACCAGCTTGATGTTTTAAAACACGCATTGCATCAGCAACAGGTATACTACTCTCAGTCAAGCTACTCATCATCACAACTTGTTCATTAGTAACCTGTGTACATACAAAAAAACACATTGTTTAAAAAAAAAAGAACATCATGTATTTGTTAAAGAACATATATTGCGCATTTAAGAACATGATTTAAAATAATTTTAAAAATTGTACCATAACCTTCCTATGAGACCTAATCAAATGTCTCTTTGAAACAGGAACCCTACTATGATTATGAACCATAGTGTGATTGACCACGACATTCAAACCAGACACCTTATCAATATCAAACTGTATATGAGCCTTGCAACCTGTGCGGAAATTCCTCTTTTGGTAAACTTTTGATTGTTCACCATGCTTCTTCTCTTGCTTAAAGCCAGCAAAAGAACACACCAAAAAGCGTTGCCTAGGTGTCCTATCTTTGTCATCTCTACGATTCAACCTATCTTTACGTATACCAAAACCATGTTTAAATGCATAATTCTGATTCAGTTGCCTCGGTAAAACCTGAAATAGGATATCAAAATACATATATATTAAGTTGATGTTCTTACATAATAACATGACGTTCAAAGGTATAAAATGTTATTTAATATATTTGTAATGTTCTTTATTAAATGCACATTGATAACGGCACATTAATTACAGAAAATACAAAACAGAGTACAACAAAAGTACACGACTCTTTCAGGAAAGTACATTCCATTACAATAAAAGTATATAAAGAGTACTACAAAGTACCTATATAATTAACAATTGCACATGCACTAATAAATAAAATCAACATTGATTTCAAGTTACATATAATAACAAATAAAAAAGAACATATGTAAATAATAAAAGAACTTCATCTTCAACCTCATGAAAATCACTGTGAAATTAAAAATATAAAGTAATTCGATAATAAAATTAAAATTATTAGTAATAACTAAATCTAATAATCAAAATTAATGATTAACAAATGAAAAATATAATGAATTAAACAATTCACCTTCATTGAGGTTTACGATACCCTCGACTTCACCTTCATCGTTGATATCATAATCATTTGCATCATCGACAAATCTAGCATTAGAATCATGGCGAAATTCAGATTGATAAACCATTATTAACTTCTTCTACAATGAATTCAAATGATTGATCCTCAAAATTTTCTCTGTAATTCTCTCTCTGTAATTTTCTCTCACTAAAAAGTTTGAAATCTTTTTTGAAAATATCAGTTAACAAAAATTAGCAAAAATTGAAAGCTATAAAATCGGCAACAATTTAGCAAAATCCACGTGATGTTAAACTGTCTCCTTTTTTTTTTTTTTAAATTCCCGTAATTAGAAATTAATGGAATTAATCCTGCCAACTCAGCAGGTGTACCATGAGCATGGTACACCCTTGTGTACTATCAAACTTTCATGCCACATAAGTAAGTTAACCTCCATTATCCAGTTAAAATTTTCATTTACCCAATATAATAGAATGGCAGTAGTAAAGTTGGTTTTTTTTTTTTTTTAATAAATCAATGTTCGATTTATTATTGGAAGATAACAAAAAGTTCGGATTATTCATGTTAATTTTTCCTATTTTTTATTGAACAATAATAAGATTGAAATCTTCAAATGACAAAAATGAATGGCCGACTATGATCGACTATGTGCATCTAATTTGTTGGAAATGAATCAAATGATATAGATTTCTAAATATAATACACATTTTTACACCATCTGATTCCTTAAATTTGTACAAGTGAACTTTATATTGGATTTCATTGTCTACACGAATTGATTAATTCTTGTATATGTGTTATTTTGCAAGTAGGCAATTAATGTGAATGGCACAAAGTAAAACCAACCTGTACCTTTCCAAGTTTCCAACAGTTTTACATCACTTTGGACAGTTCAAAGTTACTTTGGATTTTGGAATTGCGTCTAAATTTTGCTAAATAATAAACAATGCAAAGGCATTATAGTTCTCCATAGTTTATGTTTCGAGATACTCTATGAATGTTTCTTACCAAACTAACCAACCATATGCTCTAATTTACACGTTCATTAACTCTTGATCTCGGTTTTGCTGAAAAATAGTTCTTGTTTGAAACTTCTCAGGTAGGTATACTTGCTTATTGATCCATTCAATCTGACCTCCCTCGCGGTTTTTTTTGTCCGATATTTGCGGGTCAGACACTTTGAGAGTGACAGAAAAGGGTAAGGGATCCCCAACCTCAAAGTGTCCCTAATGGGGATTGAACCCTCAACATCAAGGTTGAAAGGTGATAATTTTACCACTAGACATCTTGGAATCGAGTTTATACTAATGTTCAATTGAAAATGCATAGTGATGGAAAATCAAATTTATTACTAGTATTTGTTGTATACTAGATACTACTCCTCCAGTTCCCTTTTGTTTGTTTCACGACTCATTTTTTGTGAGAGTTTTTTGAGTCAAATGGTGCAAACAATAAGGAATAAAAGGAGTATGTATAAGTAAAATGATAGGCTTGGGTGCATGATTGAAAATTGATATACAAGACATTAGATCGACTCTTATCATCTCATGTATGGAACATATCATCATCCTAATACCCACTCTATAAATAAAATACAATTCCCATTCAAACTCGTAGAGTTCTTATATTCATACATTTCTTAGTTCTTATATACTCTGTATTCCATCATAATAAATTAATAACAATTAGCAATAATGATCCAAAATCAAAACAGCATAATAATATTAAATCAAACAAAAATGATGTTAAATCAAACAATTTCCAATCATAATCACATAAAATATGAGATGTGACTGTCACTGATAGAGTGGGTAAGAAAGAAAGATGGCAATCATAGACATAAAAAGCCCGCCTAAGATTACCCAACTACCCATAAAAAGAAACCAAAAAACTGGCATCTTCTCTTCCACTGTTAATCAAACCACACCACTTCCACTTTCAGACCATCTTCCCCTTTTGCTTTTTACTCCTTTTCTTCTTCTTGTCTTTCTGTGGCTTAAACAATTTCACCTCCATTTTCTCTCTCCTCTTTCTCTTTCTCTCTCTACCTTAACACTACATTACCCATGTTTCTTTGTAATTTACCTGTAATTGGGCAAATCCCTCTTTTTTTACTTCTCTTTTCTTCTTTTTTCTTTACTCTTTCTTCAGCTTGTTCTGGGGGCGGCAATTGTCAGGTAATCTCTTCTAATTTTGTGAATTTGTGGGGTTTTTTGTTAGATTTTACCCAAGATCTGAGTATATTTTTGGTTTAATTGTATGAATTTGTTGCTAAAATTTTGATGAAAATTAAATTTGCAGGTTTTAGAGTCATGTTCAGCTGCTAATGATTGTGCGCCTGGTTTGTACTGTGGTAATTGCCCTGCTGCGAATAAGCGCCAACCCGTTTGTACTAGAGGGCAAGCTAACATTCCCACTTCTATTGTATGTCTTTTCTTTTAAATTAATTTTTTTTTACTAGAATTAGTGCAAATTTAAGATTATTATGTTAGATTTTTTGCCGTTTTAGGTTGATTAATTAATGGGTTTTTATAGTTTCTTGAGTTAAAGCATTACTTTTAATAAATACCCTATAATTAGTTGAGTTTTGTATGTTTGTTGTCTAAATTTTTTGTCTAATTATTGATGGGTTTTGGATTTTGGTTGTGGAAATTAGGTTACTGGGTTGCCCTTTAACAAGTATTCATGGCTAATGACTCATAATGCATTCTCAAATGTAAATGCCCCACCATTGTCGGGTGTACAAAGGATTACATTCTACAATCAAGAAGATACTGTGACCAATCAACTAAGGGTATGGAAAGTTTTTCTCTCCAATTGTATTAAAACTTTACTTAGGTTTCGTGTTTACGAGGACAAGTTGTGTTAATGGTTACCTTGTTGGTTGTTTTTTAGAATGGAGTAAGAGGATTGATGCTGGACATGTATGACTTTGAAGGTGATATTTGGCTGTGCCATTCGTTTCAAGGGCGCTGTTATAACATCACTGCTTTTGTAATATTTTCTTTCCCTCCTCATTGATTATTCGATTTTACCTTTGATGATTGAATTTAGTCCTGAAACTTTGCATGACATGCTAAGTAATGATGACTTAGGGACCTGCAATTGACACACTGAGAGAAGTCGAAGCATTTTTGACCGAGAATCCCTCAGAGATTGTGACCATTATTATAGAGGATTATGTTCAATCTCCAAAAGGGTTAACTCAGCTGTTTGCAAATGCTGGATTGGAAAAGTATTGGTATCCTGTAACCGAGATGCCAAAAAAAGGTGAAGATTGGCCAACAGTGAATGATATGGTTCAAAAGAATCATCGGCTTTTGGTTTTCACCTCTGATGCTTCGAAAGAGGAAGCAGAAGGGATTGCTTATCAGTGGAGATACATGGTTGAAAATGAACGTAAGTATCGTATGAGTTATGACTGCATTTTTGTGTATCTTCGATGGGTGAAACTTACACACTTGTCTGCTATGTGATGCTTTTCCAGCTGGAGATCCTGGAGTGAAACAAGGTTCATGTCCTAATAGAAGGGAATCGAAAAAACTTAACTCTAAAGGCGCATCACTTTTCTTAATGAATTACTTTCCAACATATCCTGTTGAGGATGTTGCTTGCAAAGAAAATTCAGCTCCATTGGCTAATATGATTGGTACCTGTGATAAGGCAGCAGGAAATAGGATGCCAAACTTTGTGGCAGTTAATTTTTATATGGTACTGATAATGCAATTTCACCTTAGAGCTCTAATTATCATATTACTAGTCAACCATATCTAATTTCTAAACACTATTTATCATTTCAGAGAAGTGATGGACCTGGAGTCTTTGACATATTGGACAAAATGAATGGACAATCATTGTGTGGCTGCACCACTATAACAGCTTGCCAGGTTTGTTCATTCTTCACTTCTTCTTCACCATACCAGGAACCCATGTTTCATTTTCTTTTTTATTACTTGCTTTATGCTTGACAATCAGCTAAGTAGGGTCTTTATCTATGTGCTTCTTGCTTGACAATCAGTTAAGGAAGGTCTTTATCTCCATTAGTGCATTACTTTGATGGTTTCTCAAAGATAACCCATACTATCACAGAACAAAAAAAATTCCAATTGGTATATTATATTTCATCTGAGATACTTGCCATACCTCCTATCTAAAATTGTTCTCGTATGTAGTCAGAATGCACCTATTATGAAATTAATTGAAGCAATTCATACTTGCCCTTATTTCTAGGGGCTTTTAGAAGAAGAATTCAACATTCATGGCATAGATGTTGACCATAAAATGGTCACAGATCTCTCCAGCCTGAATAATCTCAGATAGACCATGTCAATTGTCAACCATGGAACATTACCACCCTCAAACAATTAGAGCACAGTAGATCAGTAGTTGCAGAATGTAGCCTGGCAGTGAGATAGGCTTGTTTGTCACTCTCCTCTTGTCAGAAGGCATTTCACCTTATATGTACTTGGGCATATTTTTAGAGGGATTAAAATTCATACTACACCCCAAAATTACAGATTTCAGGCATCCAAGAATTTCATGGATGTTTGATTTTTTGGTCACAGGGATTTTAGCAGCAGCCTAGCTGTTGATGAACCATTTCCTGAGCCCTTCCTTGTTTCCTTGGTTTGTGGCGGAGACTAAATTTCACAAGTCCTACTTTCTGAAGCGAGGGGAGAAAAGGGCCAGGGGGGGGGGAATTTGCTGTTAACACTGTTCACAAGTCCTATTTGCTGGATCTTTCTTCCACAAACTGTGACAGTTTTTTTTTTTTTTCTTCAATTTTGCAGCAAGGATCTCCTCCGGGGGTTTGTAAAAATGTACCAGCACCTATTTTAGCTCCTCCCACCTCAACTTTCGGCGGAAGCTTTTCGGGATCTGTACAGTTATCTGGATTTGCTCCAGCTGCCTCTTATCCAAATATCATACTAATTTGTTCATTGCATTTATCATTGATGTTACTTTTAATGTGTTTATAATGTAAATGACATGATGAGTGCCAAAGAGCACTGTTAAAGTTGTATGCTTCATTAGAACAGGTTTTTGGAGTACTAGAAGTAAATTTTGGAGCCATTGTAGTTTCTATTATTAGTAGAAGTCCATGGACAG